CCCCAGGAGCAGCCGCAGCAGGAGCAGGAGCTATGACTCAGGAGGCAGCTCCGACAGCCTGCGTCGCTAGGGAGTGCCTCCCACGGCACTGCGTCGCCTCCGAGTTCCTGGCGTCCTCCGCTTCCTTCCCACCTACCTGGCCGTCGATAGCAACCACCCCCGATACTGGTGTGGGGGCAGTGCCGGGTCCCCCTTCCCCAGTTCGGAGCGAGAGCTCTCGAGCGCCCGGTGCAGCCCCTTTGCCGCCCCGCCGAGTGCGTGGATCCGCCCCAGCTCGCCAGGCCAGGGCTGGAAGAAGGGTCGGTGCTTGACAAGAGGGTCTGTCGTGACAGACCTGCTCCATCCTCCCCGACATCCGCATCTCCCCATCGCTGCCGCTCTCCAAAGCACTACCGGCTAGTCCAAAGGAAAGAATCCAGCTCCTCGCTCTTCTGCCAAACCGGGAACCAGCAAATCAATTTCTGTTGGAGGGAAAGACCCAGTTAGGGAGGAATTTGCTGGGAAGCTTTGGTGATGAGTGGGGGTGACCTGTCCCCACCAAGGCAAATACCAAGTCCCTCAGGTCTTTCCTCCAGAGTTTCCACCCACCCTGCAGCAGGCCTCTTCCATGAGAGAATATTTATTTATTGCTGGTCAGCCAGTCCCTGCTATAAATAGAAGGCTAGAAATCCCTCCTGACGTCATTCCTGTGGAAAAAAAGGCCATTCCGTCTCTTTCTCCCACCCTTTCCTACCAGGCATGGGTCATCTTTCGCAGGGTGGTTTTATCCCCCTCCCAGCGCTGTGACTTGCTTGCAAACGAACTGCTGAGGTCTGGAGCGGACGTGGGGGCGACGGGGGACAAGGGACAAGGGAGGTGGTGCCACGCTGTGCTCCGAGGGCCAGGCCACGGCGTGGGAGAGAGCGGCCATGGGCTCCCCTTCTCAGAGGAGCCCTCTTGCAGCCTGGGCTTAGGTTTTTCTAAAGGGAGCCTTGCCCTCGGGGTGCACTGCTGGTGGGACTGGGAGGGAGGTAGGGAGAGAGCCTAGCTGTGGGGTGCAGTGAGAGCACGCAGGATTGAAAGGGCACTGTATGAGCCAGGGGACCCCGGTTCCCCTTCCTCGCGGCAGGTTTAAGCAGTGCCAGGAGGATTTCAGGACGTAGTCTCTCCTGGAGACCCTCAGGCTACCCTGAGGCAGGATTAGCCGCCCCAGCAGCTCCACGGGGGCCAGTGCCAAGCTGCAGCAGGCTGCACTGGGGCCCCAGTTGGTCGCTGGGAGGATGGAGCAGTGCAGGGGGACAGAAAGGGCCGCCCCCCCCGCTAATTGCCTGCTTTTCC